GTTTTTGTTCAAAAAAAAAACTTTTTTAAATATATTTTTAAGTTCACCACATTAAATGTTATTGTCATTTTGAACGAGTGATTTGTGTTCTTCAATAAAAGTTTTAATCAAATGCTCGCTTTCAAGAAAACTCACAATCAATCTTCGCCACTTAGTGATCACTTCGTATTGGCGCGATACAAACCATTTTCTGGCCTTATTTCCGAGCTCTATGTCTTCTGTTGCTTTCAGCAGAAACAAAGTAAAAAAGCAGAAGAAAGAAAAATATTAAAAACTATGCTGAAGAAAAAGAGTGGCAAAAAATGGGGCTTATTCTTTTTAAATCGCTTTTTTTTAAGGCAAAAAAAGAATGTTTTATGCATTTTACGGTTATTTGGGAAAGATAAACAAGCGACAAAAGATTTCCGTGTTTCTTCGTTTCGCGAATTTTTACCGTAGGACAATGTTTCTGTTACCAAATAATGACGACTGTGCTGGTGATGAGAAAAATGAGGACTATGATTTTAATGATGACGACGCTAAGGATGAAGATGTGATTTTTCTTCCAGATGTTGGATGGATGGATACTTCTGTTACACAGCTTTTTTGATGAAACACATCGATACATTTATTTTGTTGTTTTCTGGTCTTATTTTTTTCCCACACGCACTTCAAGTCTTATCTTCAACTTTCAACTCTGGTTAATGTTTTATTGCAAATAAACACATAAACTTCTTTCGTATTTGGTTGTTTATTTGAAGAATAAAATTGTTCAGTGATCTAAAGAGAAATATAAAATTTGCTCTTCTTCTTAATTCTTTGGTAACAGTTGGATATTAAACCTTTTTTTTCTGTTCTTTTTAATGTCTTAATTTCACAGTATTTTTTTTCTTATTCTGAAATTGAATCTCTTCAAAGAATAATTTTGAATAAAAAAAAAATCTAGAATTTTTTTATTTCTTACTTTTTATTTTTGTTGTTTTTTGATACATATTTTACGATATACACAAGGAGAAGCGTCATAGAAGTTGCTGTTCTGTTTCTGCAGTATGAAATATAATCGGGGATAAAAAAGGGAAGGTTTTTTTTTGGTAGTGGAAGGGAGGATAGAGTAACAAAAAAGTTAGGTGATAGGGACGGGGGATGGAAGATGACATGAGGAAAGGAGGGGAAGGAGGATTTGACTGCTTGTTATTTGCGTTGGGATTTAAGTCTCATCTCCTTTTAACTCGCCAAATACGCAAGGAAACGACCGTCCTTGTTTGGTTATGTGTATATTTGTTGCGTCTTGATAATGATTCTTTTGGGTGGGTTATGAAAAGGAATGATGGGCAGGGAAAGGCATTGAACGGAAACGAAAAAAGGCAGAGGGAGGGGATGGAAGCTTAAGGAATAATGGGTAATGAGGGGAATGAATAGGAAAGCTTCCAAAATTTCTTCATTTAGTACTCAGATTGATTCTTCTAATGGCAGAAGATAGTATTAACACCAAAAACTATCCATGTAATACTTTTCAAAAAAAGAAAAGTAAATGTATTGGTTAGATTAGTGAAATGATATATCTGTATAGCAGGCACATCTGCATATACGTATATGGAAGTATAGTTGATTTTAAATGAGTTTTTTGAGAAAGCGCTGTTTTTTGGTTGATTGTTCAATTCTTTTTCTTCTGTTTTATGTACTTAGGTATTTGTTGGTAT